AAAAAAGGTTGTAAGCTGTTTTTTTAAATAATTAGTTTTGTAAAAAATTTGTGTACGAGTGATAAACGGAAAGAGTTCTGGCCTTATAATATTTATTTATAACTATACTAAAAAAAACTTAACTAGTTAAGCCACTAATTAGCATCTAGACTATTATAGCCAAATGCTATATTAGAATTAAAAATAATTTAATATTAATAGTATTGGATTCTAAAGCTGCTATTAGTATTATATTAAAAAAATTAGCTAAAAACTTAATCTTAAAATAACTAAACTATTTAATATTATAATAGTCATAGCAAATAGAGCCTAAAAGTATGTTTTAAAAAATATCTCTAATATAAAAATAGCTGTTGGAAGTGTAATAATGTTTACTACCTTCTAAATAATCAAGAACCCTGAAGAAGTAATATTGTTAGAAGTAAACAAGTTTTAAAAAATCTATATCAAACTTTACTTTAATAAAAGCAAGTTGTTTTTATACTATTTAAATAAAAGTATAAAGGTGTCTATTTATTAAGTAAAAAAGAATCAATTAATAATCTTACAAGAAATAGTTAATAATAATAATGACTACTTCAATAATTTTGAAAAAGAAAAAACAAAGAAGTTAAAAGTTAGCATATAGATAAAGCAAAAGACAAAAATATATATATATAATTTCAAAAAATATAAATAGCTTAGCTATTTATCTAACTGCTATCAAAGAATAACTAAACTCTAAAGTAATCAAAAGTTTTAAATTATAATTTGAAGAAGTTGTAGACAAATTAGTATAAATAATTACTTTAACTGAAGAATAAAAACAAAAGACCAAACCTATTCTAGAAAAATATAAAGAATTATTTTTTAATAAGCTAAATAATTTAGATTATGCTACTAAAGTATAATATAAAATTGATACAAAAAATGCAAAATTAATTAAACAAACTGCATACTAAATTGCTCTCAACAAACAAGACTTTTTAAATAAAAAAATTAAAAAGTTACTAGAAAATAGCCTTATTTATAAATCAAAAGCTTCTAAATATTCAAATTATTATAGTAGCTAAAAAAATAAGAAGTTTAGATTATGTATAGACTATTAAAAGTTAAATACTATAATTAAAAAAGATGCTTACACTTTATTTAGAATCAATAATCTATTTAAAACTTTTGAAAAGGCCAAGTAGTTTTTAAGTTTTAATTTAGCTGGTAGTTATTGGCAAATTAGAATAAAACTCAAAAACTCAAAAAAATAGTTTTTGTTACAAAACAAAGAGTATATGCTTTTGAAGTAATACCATTTGGGCTATGCAATACTCTAGCAACTTTCTAATATACTATAAACTACATTTTATATGAATTGTTAGATCAATTTGTAGCAGTTTATCTAGATAATATTATAGTTTATCTAAAAACTTATACAAACTATTTAAACTACAAACAAAGCATATTTGAAAAAATTAATACTACAGAATTAAAATATAATCTAGAAAAATATAAGCTATTCAAGTATAATATACAGTTTCTAGAATATGTGATAGGCCAAGATAACATTAAATCTAACTCATTAAATTCATCAAAGATAACGGGTCATAAAATTTTACTTCTCTATGATTTTTGATAAACCTTTTTACTTCAGTTTTAAGGTTTGTTGTTAAACAACTTGCTAGGAAAACAATATCTTTACGATCTCGAATAGAACACAAATTAAGAGTAATATTATTATACTTTCCTGTTTGACTAACAACAGATCTATAATTATTCTCAAGTGCATCAGTAATATCTGGTAGAATATACTTTGGCCAATATTGACATTTTTTTAATTGCAAAATTGAATAAAAGCTATATTTAAATAAAGTTATACATGCATTTACACTACCAAACTATGAATCTGCAATAATCATTCTACTACTATTAAACCATGGCTCAGTTAATTGTAACAAAGTTGCTACAGTGGGTATATAACTATCAGAAAATTTTTTTTTTGTAGCAAACTCTAGGGGCTCTTCAAGATCTAATAGCAACAATAAATTTGTATAAACATCTGCAACAGTCTTTAATTCACAGCCAATTGGATGAGGCTTTTTCAGTATTTTTTATTAAAGCAGACCTTTATCAACTTTACCCATCCACTGACATATTAACTCATCAATACAAAGATATTTACCAGGCATAATAGCCTTAGAAAGATTTTTGTTGAATACATTGTGAAATTCTCAGGCAAAATAAAAAGGATCATCATTTTTTGATATATTAATTAAAGTTAAATACTTAACAATATCCCTAAACTATTTGCATATCATATGCCTTCTAAAATCTAATATGATACCATTTGTTTCTTGACTGGTAGACCAATAATCACAACTATCGGTGCACTGAATATATGTCATTATTGTTAGGATACTAATGAAGCTCATAAATTTCATCTATGTTAAATTATTCCAGGTTCGTTCACTTTCACATCCATGTTTATTAGTGGATAGTATTACAACTGACATAAATATTCTACTGGCAAAAAACATTCAAAAAACTGTCTAGATGTAGTAGATATAATATCAGAAATATGCACATGTGGTGTACTAGAATAAAAACAAATTACTTGACAAGAATCAATACCCTATAAGAAAAATAGTTCGGATCGGTACGGGTTGGTTTCGGATAGGCATGGGCCTTTGTGGCATGGGTCAAGATCCGGATTTGTACAGGTATGGTCTGAGTTGATACGGATTCGGTGGTCCGTGTGGGACCATATGCCCGTGCCAATTGGACCGTAAATAGCACAGGTTTTGCAGCAGTTTACTAGTCGAATCAGCACGGAATTTGGCACAGGTAATGAAATGTAAATTCACGTGCCACCCAATAACAAATAACAAACATGTTAAAACATAAAATTTATATTAGTAATCAATATAATACAAACAAACTAACTGCATGTGAAGTAAAATTTTGTAAGGAATCTTTTTTGTTAAGATACTCAGAGCAGCTTTATCAGTGAAATTATAAGATATTGCACTTTTTTTAAAAAAAATCATTTATTGATCTTTCGCTCTCCGAGAAACGAGCCAACACGTATCATGAGCCAACCTATATGCAACGTACACATATGTGTCATCTAAACGTGTTGTTCTGTATGACGTGATATAACGTGCCACCTCTTGCCGAAATGTCTGTGCCATTTTTACCGTGCCATTCTGTAAAACATTCCTATGCATGCCACACAATCCGTGCCACTCCGTACATTCCCGAAACCAACCCGTACCACAACTCATACCACTTTTCTTATAGAGATAGTGATATTTTCATTAAGCCACAAGATTCCATTCTTGCTACTAACACCTATTTTATTATTATCATTCCTTTCTTCATCCTCACTTGAAATATCTGTTTCAAGCTCAGACTCTTCTTTTAAACTGTTTATTTTATTTGAACTACTATTAGCTATAGCCATTGTTACAAATTTCATGCGACTAGCCGAAGCTTGAATCTCTATTTCTGGTTTTGTATCAAGACTAATTACCCACCAATTATTACCAGATGCTATTCGTAATACTGTTGCATCAAGCCTTTAGTTTTCTATAAATCTCCTAAAATTGAGCGACTAACATTTTCACCTACAACAGTACCCAAGACTATAGTTGGTGGTAGAATTAATTTTACAAATTAATACGGTTACGGCACATGCCGTATTTTTTGGCGTAATTGCTGTGAGCCATAAAGCCATAATGCTGTAATGCTGTAATGCTGTAAAGCCATAATGCCATAATGCCATAATGCCATAATGCTGTAATGCAGAAATATTATCTGCTATAATTCCGTTTGTTAAAATGCTATACTACATTATGTTTTCCTTTAAATAACATACTATTAAATATATTTTTCGAATTTGATTCTCTCAACTTTGTTGATTTAGTATATTTGATTATAGATCTAGGTTTTATTTTTGCTTAAACATCATGATTTGTTTTTTTGGCCTTCTATAAGTTATTGTTTGGGAACATTGTTTATGACTTATATAAGATGATACGTGCCTATATACATATATGTTTTAAAAATTTCATCACAATTATTGTAATTTATGACCTTAATTATATTTGCATTGTTTAAGAGAAGTTCATACTGATACCAAATTAATTTGCTATGGTGATTTTCATGAGTAATGTCAAAATCAGAAGTCAAAGTTGCTTTCCGCAATTGCTTCGGGAGTAAATTTTTGCTGACAGTGGGGACATTCTTTACCGGCCAATTGTAAGGTGATATTAGTTTCCCAGATTTGGTTAGTTGCACCCATAATTTACCTCCTTCTGGCCTACTCATTGCTTATATTCATGGAAAAGTTTTCAGTCGGCCCCATACTTTTGTTTAAGTTCCTGGATTCGTTTTTGTTCTTTAGCTTGGTGCCGGGCTTGGATTTGCTCGGCTGTTTCATGGCTTTTTTCTTGGTTTCTAATCAAAGCCAAAAGATTCTGATCATCTTTAAAACTAAGCCTGAACTAAAAAAAGGCCAGCTGGGCCTATGAAAAGGAGGTTTACCATGCCTAATATTTACTAAAAACTCCAAACTATCCAAAGTCAATCCAGGCAAATTAGCAAAACTGAGTTAAATAAATTTGGCAACTATAAATATTTCACTGAACTGCAAGTGCTAAAACTC